GGATGTTTGAATGAAATAAAAGTGAATAATTTATTATTATGCTACATTAAACTGCCTCATCAATCACAGTGCGGTGATGCTTTGGCAAAATGTTGTGCGCGCATGTACAGTATCAAACGGTGGTGGAAGAAGTACTCCAATTTTTACTCTAGTAGAAACAACTGTGTTTGTAATTAGTTATATTGTATGCTGTTCTGTTAATCAGTAATTAGTAACGAAAGAAACGTAAAAAGTACAATATTTGTCTGTAAAATGTAGTGAAAAGGTATGAAAATACTCAAGTACAAATACTTCAAAATTGTACTTAAGTACAGTACTTGAGTAAAAGTACTTAGTTACCTTCCACCTCTGATGCAGACAATACTGTGTTTTGCTAAATTACAGTAAAACGATTATGCACTGACCATGTTTTTGTGAAGTTGAACTGCAAATTAAGTTGTGTTGTATAAACAGTGACTGTGATATCACAATGTGTTAGCTGATTACATCTTCCTGAAAAATACCGCCACACCTGTACAGACCTATTGTAGAAACATGTTGCCTATGCATGACATTTCACTAAGCTGAATGCTACATCAAGCCGACCTTCAGTGCTACACTACAACGTGCTAACAGATTGCTGTTTCATAACAGCTTTGTACAGAGAAAGGAGAGGAAGCATGCATGTGTGATAGATAGCATCTTGGCACTGTGTTGCTGCAGCATTACTGCTGCTGCTACTGATGGCTTTTCAATATAGCATTGCAGTAATTTCCTATAAGCCCGTGTGACTAATGGCGTAAACAATGGAGCTGAATGTTCATGTTATGGGCCCATTATGAAACTATCAGGGCAGGCATGTAAAGACGGATGCCTTTGATCAGCGCTCTATTGTAGAATCCAGGTGCAGGGAAGGGGATCTGCATCTTTAAGCGTGTCTTAAGTGTGTGTTTGTGTATGTGTGTGAGAGAAAGAGAGGGGAAGAGAGGACGAATAGAGTGAAATAAAGAGATGAGAGGTAACAGAGACAGAAAGAGAAAATAAGTAGAATGAAAGCGAAGAGAGGGTAAGAGCTGCTGAGAAAGACAAATAGAAAACCCAACACAGTGTTTTGTTTTTACAGGCCATTGGTACAGCAATGAATCCCTTAAATGACTTCCTGTCTATTCAAGCAGCCACCCAAAGTACACTACCAGTCAAAAGTTTGGACCCGCTTTCCCACTCAATTCAATGGGAAACTTTTGAATGATAGTGTATCTCATTTGCCTTTAAAGCCTTTCTCCCTATACAGCATAATGACCCAAGCTGATGATGTCATGCAGCAGTTACCTCAATCAGCCAATGGGGTTTCCCGGCTGTCACAGGCTGCCTTGGATGCTAAAGGGAGTAGTCAGAGTCCACAGGTTAGACACAAGAGTCCCTTGGATAGAGACAACTTACTGACAGGAAGTCAATACAGGGTCATCTGAGCCAAAAAAAACAGTGAGGCGGCCAAGTGTGTAAATGTCATAGCTGATGGGTAAAAGCTACACAGATGCACCCTAAAACATTTATAATGACTCACACAGACATTAGCTCTTTAGTGTATGAAAAATGCAAGTGGATGTGTGAAAGATGAATACAACACAGCAGAGTGCTTTTTTATGTTACCGCACTTTTCTTAACTGTACAAAGAGATGCAAAACAGGACGAACCAAATGAACAGGCTTACTAGACAAAGCCCAGCACATCACCTTGAATCAAACCTGTTTGTTTCTACCAACACTGACTCTTTTCACAAGCTGCCTAAATAGACACCAAGTTTTTAATTTATGCACACACACATAGATCTTTACTAGATGTCTTGTGTTTACCTGTGTATCACTGCTGTTGCTGGAGAAGATGCTTTGATTTGAAAGAGTTTTACACAGTCAAATTCTACCTCACTCTGTTTAAATGGTTCAGACATTATAATGGAATACTTATGAATTTTGGACCGTTGGACAAACCAAATAATTTGCACCTAAATTCCGGGAAAGTATATGATCCATATTTTTCACTATTTTCTGAAATCCTTTAGACTAATCAAGTCATAAAAAGCAAATACAACAAAAAAGAGGGATTGAGAATGCCATCCTATCACTCAGCTTTCCAATCTCTTCATCAACTGGGAAGGTATCTATCATTGATGCCTGTCCATTAAAAGCTGCCCTGCTCTGTTAGAAGCACGCCCTGTGTCTAAAGCTGCACAAGCTGCTCCTCTGCTGTTGTTGTTGGCAGCAGTGAGATGTTTAAAATGAGGCATCTGACAAAAGATAACATCTGAAAGGCACAGAATCCATTATGGTGGTTGATGTTCCGAGAAAGGGCGAGGAGAAGAGAGACCCATCTGGAGGTTTGGAGTTAGGAAGGCAGGAAAAGAGGGAGGCAAGAGGAGGCAAAATGAGGGAGAGAGGAGTCAGCATGACCATAGTGCATTTCCTCAGTCTATCTGGCCCTCCTCTATGTGGTCACATCGATTTTCAGGGAGGCAAATGTCCAAAGTAAAATACAGTACAACACTTTTTTACTTCCCTAAATCCTGAAAGATACACAAGGCAATATATGATCAGTTCCCACAAAATCCAGTTTGAACATGAAAAATTTAGTTCCAAAACAGCAATAAGCAGGCACTTTAAACAGAGCTACCCATTTTCTTTTCAGCCTAGAGGGTCTAATGAGACTCAAGACAAAGTGACACCATAAGCTGCTCCTAACTGCCTTTTGCCCCTCACATCACACCGTTTCCTAGCAACAACAAAGTATGGATGCATGGTTGGGACAAACTGTACAATATACAGCCTGTGGTCTGAAGCTAGCATTAGCTGACTAGCAGTAAATGTGTCAGTCCAGTAAAACACTTTGGCTATTGCTGATGTGACACAAAGCGCTAACGTTACACAAAGCTCAAATTTTTCCCAAATTAAAATCATATTAATTCGATACAAAAGGTAAAATCATGACCATGCTAGGTCGCCAGTGTTGTGCCTGCTTTTAACCCTCTCCATGTCAAACAGCCAAACCCATGTTAACCCTTGCTGTTACTCTTTCTTTGTCCCACTCTCTATGTGCAAAAGTCTGGCAGCCGCTGGTTTAGACTTTTAGCTGCCCAGCAGATCGTACTTTGACAACGCAGGATGGAGAAGATGGACTAAACAGAAGGGCTGTAGGGAGCAGAGTGTCATGGAGGGGGGAGTAGAGCTGAGAGACACCATGTCCTGTCCCATTTTTGCTGGGTTTATCAGACAGTGTGTAAAATCTTAGTTAATGAACCATTAACATTTAATTTTTCCCATTAAGTAAGTATAAAAAGATATAAAAGGTCAACGACAACACACTGAAGTCTTTAAAAAATTCAAACATGCAGGTAGTGGCTAATAAAAAGTTGATTATTAACATGACATTTACCACAATACCACACACTCAGTGAAAAAGGCAGCTATGGTACAACAGAAATACAAATCCAGGGCATCTTTTGCTGTACTTATTTTAGTACTACCATCACTTCTATTGATAGATAAATATCTTTTGTGACTGTATGTGCACATGATATGTGTCAGCTACATTCACAATAATCGATAAAGTCCTGCCATAACTTTCCTTCATGACAAGGATCATCATGCTGGCAGCTGGCAGGTACGACCGCCAATCAGATTAAATGGCCAATTACACTTCTAATGTGCCACACAAAATGTAACCAATTACCTACACTTGGCCAGATGTAACCTGAAGGTAAGGCCAGATGAAAAAGACGTAAAGTCTAAGGTTAAATTACAACTCAAGTCTGGCATGTAAATTGAGTGTTATGGAAATCAGAATAGCTTTTTAATTTCAGCAGTAAAGACAAATAAGCTTTTAACAGCTGCTCTGCTGAAGAACCTTACAGGGTAATGTGTGTAAACTAATAGAGATGGGACGATTTGATGCACGACATGGTGTGTACCATTCGATTCAATCACAATACAATTAAAAATTCAATGACCAGCTGCGGAATACTTGTACTTTATTATTTTCTAGCACTGGTTTGATTATGTAAAGAACAACCAGATATACTGATTTACGTTCTGTTAGAATCAGAATCAATCAGAATCAGAATAACTTATTTACAAAAAAAAATATTAAGTCGCTGGCGTATGGAGCCCACACAATATACTGTATATCACTAGACAAAATGATACATACTGTGATGTCTTTGTATTGTGATCTATTGTCCCATCCCTATAAAGTAACATGCAGACTGCTGCAACAGAGATGCTGTACTGTACTGCTGAGAGAGAAGGTAGATTCTCATACAAAAAGCACATGTGCCATTGCCAAGTACAATCCTGAGATTAGGAATGTTTATTTGCATTCCGTGCATAGATTTTTGTGGATATAAAATATTAGGTTATGTATGCCTGTATTACAGATGACATGTCGAAGTTGTCAAGGTTTGTGTGCATATTTGGCACAGAGACTCACACATCCAGCTCTGTCTGCTCTTTTTACCTATTAAAATGAAACCCAAACTAAACAATTTCTTATCCTCCTCACATATCAGAGCAAGTTTGCAGCAAGAAGGCCAGACTGAGAACCTTATCCGCAGCTGACTAAAGCAAACTGCCATACGTTTCCACCTTCACTGACAAACAGTGCCAGTGGGGAGTGATGAAGCAAATTATTCTGCAGCACAGTTTGACAGCTCCATACTGATGAAGCATGAAATTGTGATTTGTTAGAGCAACTCTGGATGAAGATTAAAACTTGTGTTTCTGACCAACATTTATATGCACGACCAGTGACTTGCACTTTGATTAACCAGCTGGTTTGCTAGTGGATGCTGAATGCATGCATAAGGTATTTTTCAGTCCCAACTGGGTGATAACAGTCTGTGTTGTCCTAGCAAAGATTAATAACATCCATGCAATGGGGAGTTCAGACTAAATAAGGGTAGGAGTTGTTAAGGAGGAGGCAGCTTTGGGAAGTGGGTTTAATTACAGACCAATGTTGGGGCGGAGTCTTACCAAATCTCTGGGGGGCTGCATCTGAGGCTCAGCGTTCTAGAGGATGGAGGGGGGACAGAAGCAGCAAAGGTAATCAAGCAAAAACCTTTATTGACAGAACAGTGAAAATCTGAGCACAGAAGAGATTGTGGTGGGGGAACATATGAGCACATGGAAACAGGGTAATGAATAAATGACCATGCATATGAAAATGATACAACTCAGCAGACAGATGGGCAGTCACTGCTATGCAGTTTGCACTCAGGCTTAAAGTATAAAGTGTGGGTCAGAAACAACTAAATGTCACAGGTGTTCCTCCACTGAGAACAAAGGGCAAAATCCACACATTTGACTTCTTCCTCTAGAGTCTCTCAGTGTCTTCTTAATGTCCAGATTCCATTCACCCAGATTGCTTTCAATGGATAAAAGCAACGTAGGTGAACTCACAGCAATAAGCTTTACAAGAAACAGGGACTACTTAGTTACTGTTTGCTCTGCACACTTGAAAAAGACTATTCTCTGAACAAGATTAGATTTAGTGAGCATTGATCTTCAGTCAGTTGCACTGAGTTTTCCCTCAGGCCACTGACCGGCTCCTGTCCTCAGGGTGGGAAGGAACCTGACTGTGCTCTTGGTATACACCTGTTAACTAAAGCGGAACTTGTACAAATAATCCAACAGCTGTTTTTTTCATTACACTACATTAAGTTTAATACAGAAAGATATGTAACTGCCATTTTAAATGTACGTTTATGGGCTAGGGCAATGTGCCATTTACTCTTGAAACTATATTGTTTAAGCTCCATTTAGTCATATAGCTTGTGTTGTTATTGAAGTACAATATATGTTCTTGTTATTTTTAAAATGCTCTTTAGAGACCTCTGTGTCTAAAACCTGTGCTTAACTTAGCTCACGGTTTAAGACAGAGTGCTCATTGTGTGCACTGGACCTCATCTCCCTGAAGGGCCATCTCCACCCTCTCACACCACCCCCCCTCATCCCGTTACAGCTGATACACACAGATCAAATAAATACTACCATCTGACTGCCAACTTCGCAGAGTCAGCCGGCCCCAAAGCACCGCTCTAATCTTAAAATGAGTATCGACCGGTGTGGCAAGCCCTCTCATCTAACTCCTCCAGTGACAACAGCCAGCCAATAGCCTCATCTGCATCCCCGGCTGTGATAATTGTCACCAATCAACCATGTGATTGACAGTACTTGCTAGCAAATGGATGCGTGTGCCTCTAATGGCCATGGTGACTGCTGAGGGTGCTGGAAGAGACCATTTTTCCAACAACAGAGGGGGGGATTTAAGGCTATAACTCACGGTAGGAGTCGATAAAGTGCATGTTAAAGCCAGCTAGTAGACCTAGAGAGATAGCAGAGAATCACTGACTGCCTCTATGGAGCAAACACCGATGTGATTTAAAACTTGTAATCAACCTCCACTGTTCACTCTTCCCTCGTGTTTAAGCCTCAGTGCAATGTTCTGCCACCTTGTTGTCATCTCTGCCATTATGAGCTCACTTCTTAATCAAAACACTGTGAGGTAACTCAAAATGTGCATTACATCAAACCCTATTATGGATCATCTTAGCATCTGGCATGATGTAAAAAAACAGCCATGAAGAAAGCAAACACTTGTAACAAATGTTCCAACTACATTAGCACCGGTGTGTATGAATCACTGGAGTTACAAGCTGTGAGTGGCGTCTGTACAGACTGAGTGACAGCAGTAGCATCCCAGAGCAGCACCCAAAGATTTGTGTTGCTGTTTATATAGAGTAATGTGCAAGGATGTTGCCTGATTGATATTCAAGCCAAGTGTGTTCTCTGCTCTCTGCCTGCTACCTGCCCTGCGTCTGACTGTTCATCCCACATCCATCAATCTAGCAAGTCAGCTTGGAGGCAAAACACAGAGAGAGAAGGTTGCCTAACAAAGTGAGAGAAGAAAGGAAACTGGTGAATGAAAATGAAAGGAGGGCAGGGTGACAGATAAAGACAGAGACAGTTAAAGCCAGAGGAAAGGAGAGGGTGGAGGAGATAAAGTGAACTCTACAGGTTTCCTCCAAGGCTCGCCACAGCTTGGTAATAGAGAGGAGTGCAGCGCTGGAGCGGGACAATCAATCTGCATGCTTGGCTGGTGTGTTGTGTTAGCTTGGAAATGAGAAAACAACACGGAACTTGCTGTGGGGATTAACAGCACTTGTGACAGCATGAGGCACACACACAGGCGCACAGCTATGATCTATACTTATCCATGCATGGGGGGCTCTATATACTGTATGCCATGATGTGAAATGGATGAAGAGTTAGAGGAATGTTTCAGGGAAGGGGGAGAATGACAAACGCACCACTTCTCTGGGAAGGAAGGTGTCTTCCTGACGTAGGACCAGCAGCCCCACGGCCCCACCCATAGGTGTGGCTCTCAGCATAGACACCACCTCCTCCTGGGTCCGCCCATTCAGGTCCACTCCATTCACCTGAACAGGAGACGTGACTGAGTTTAGTTCTAAAAAGGGTGCACGGATTAATGTGCTGACTACTTTAAGAAGCCAAGATGAAATATTACAATAGCGGTTCTTCTTATTGTAATGTTTTAAAGCAGAGCAAAATATCTTCATTTTTTTTTATTATCAAAATTGTTGAATTAGCTTCTGATTTGATTAGCCAGTTGCTCAATACAGTGATCAACTAGTCATTTCATCAGTGACTCAAAGTTTAGGTGAGAAAAAAACAAACATGAATAAAGGATTCAACATTTTGTGCAACAACCCCATAAATTCACAGTTGCACATTGTAACCCTTTATGTAAACGGACTGCAGTGCAGGACAACACTACTTCAAAAGCTTATTCCGTTTTTGGTGCACGAGATGAAAACATGTTCTTTGATTTCATCCCAGGATCCTCAATTTCCATTTAAAAACTGTTACCTAGCATTCATTGGTTACACATTAAATTCAGCACATGGCAGTATTGGTGGATTAAAAGTATCAGTGTTTGTGGGGTCCCAATATCACTGATTTTCTCACCTCCAGCAGCCTGTCTCCTGCCTTGAGACGGCCGTCTTGGATGGCAGCTCCCCGTGGCAGAATGTTCTTGACGTAGATGGGTGCAGAGCCCCCAATGGGAACATCCCGAGACGTGATACTGAAACCGAGTCCCTCAGGACCTGTTGGAGGAGAAGTAAGGAGAGAAGGTCGTATGATAGAATCTGGTTTTATTTGGGCGCACAAGCAGAAGCTAAGCTATTCTCCATGCACACCTGTAGCTGAAGCTACTGGGAGCAAGTTCATTATCAGCTGTCATGTCTCTCCACAACCTGACGCAAGTGTAGGCAGTCTGAGGGATAAGGTATGTGGCTCAGACCGCAGACAAGCAGGTTGTTTAATCAGGAGTAAATGGTTCAGGAATAAAGAGTTCTTTCTTTTATCTATTTGGTAACAAAGCTAGCTACTGTGTACACTCAGTGGTAGCCACTGCAAATCCTATAAGAAGTCCCAACTTTACCAAGTTCTCAGTAGCACGTGTGTGGAGAGAACATGCTAATGACTCTCTCTTCACTTTCAGTACACTGCGCCTTTAGATGCCAATGAGCTCCCTGTGCTTATTAATCTATGTTTAAGTAGGAGGATGTGATTTTGTTTTGTGTCTAGTGTTTTGCCTGCAACCCATTAAGAATGTACCACAATGAAAACAGGCCCTGACAAACTATTTCCTAGTATTAGTCAACTAAAATACAGGAAATACAGGGGAATCTTACATCCTGCCAAGAGAGAGCTCAAGTAGGTTTAGAGTGAAAAATGAAAGCAGGATATACAGTATTCTAGAGCAGGGCTGTGGCTTACTTTTGAAGTGTGGGGTTGGACTATGTAATAAGTACATGCAAAATTAATACCAGTTGGGAAATTTTCATACTTTTTCCTGATATTGACTTGAAACCAGAACTGAAAAAACAACCTGGAGTAAGAATTTAATAGCTATAACGGATAAAATTGAGTATTTGGAAGCACCGTCCAAGCGAAAAAACTTGATCTTTGCGGGAATCAAGGAGACAGCTGGAGAAAGCTGGACAGAAGCGGAATGTAAAGTGAAGGAGATTCTAAAGAATAAACTGCAAATTCATCAAGAAATTGAGATGGAGCAGGCTAACAGAGTCGGGAAACCTTCTGATCATGGGCTGAGGGCGGTGATGGTAAAGTTGATGAAAGAGAAAGATAAGGCACACATACTGCAACAAGCAAAGAAGCTTAAAGGATCTAATATTTATATAAATGAAGATTACACCGAGTCTGTGAGGAAGAGAAGAAGGGAGTTGATGCCGATGTTAAGGGAGGCCAGGGCGAGGGGAGACATCGCGTTCCTGCGGTATGACCGACTAGTGACCCGACCTCGGAACCAGAATCCAGGACCCATGACCAGCACGCCGAGGACCAGTATGCCGAGACAAGGAGAGTATGAAGGGGTCGCTGGACCCTCAG